ATCTGTCAACAGGAAAATGGATAAACAAATTGTCATACATCTACACAATTCAATACTTCTTGGCTCTAATAATCTGATTTTTAAAATGGGCAAAAGATTTGAATAGACATTTCTCAAAAGAAGATATACAAATGGTAAACAGGCATATGAAAAAGTGCTCAGCATCATTGATCATCAGAGAAATGCAAATTAAAATTACACTGAGATATCATCTCACTCCAGTTAAAATGGTTTCTATCCAAAAGACAGGCAATAACAAGTGCTGGTGAGGATATGGTGGAAAGCGAACCTTTGTACAATGTTGATGGGAATGTAAATTAATACAACCACTATGGAAAACAATAGGAGGGGCCTCAAAAAACTAAAAATAGAGCTACAATGTGATCCACATCTACAATGTGTACAATGGAATCCTACTGCTACATATATACCCAAAAGAAAGGAAATCAGAATCTCAAAGAGATATTTACACTCCCATATTTGTTGCAGTACTGTTCACAATAGCCAAGATTTGGAAGCAACCTAAATGTCCGTCAACAGATGAATGGATAAAGAAAATATGGTACCTATACAGAATGGAGTACAATTCAGCCATAGAAAAGGATGAGATTCTGTCATTTGCAAAAACATGATTATAACTGCAAGTCATTTTGTTACATGAAATAAGCCAGGCACAGAAAGACAAACATTGCATATTCTCACTTATTTGTGGGTTCTAAAAGGCAAAACAATTAAACTCATGGAGATAGAGAATAGCTTGGTTACCAAAGGTTTGGAAGGGTAGTGGCAGAGGGGTGGAGTGGGAGGTGGGGATAGTTAATAGGTACAAAACAAATAGTTAGAAAGAATGAATGAGACCTAGTATTTGGTAGCACAATGAGTGACCTATAGTGAGTACTAATTTAATTATACATGTAAAAATAGCTAAAAGTATACTTGGATTGTTTATAACACAATGGATAAATGCTTGAGGGGATGGATACCCAATTTTCCATAATGTGATTATTACACATTGCATGCCTGTACCAAAATATCTCATGTATTCCATAAATATGTACCCACAAAAATTAAAAAATAAAAAAATTTGAATACTACTTGGCAATAAAAACAGACTACTGGTAAATGCAATGGCATGAATGAATTACCAAAATAGTACGTTGAGGGAAAGAAAGCCAGATGCATACACAAAATTATACAGTATGATTCTGGGATGATGAAAATGTTCTATGTCTTGTTTTGAATGGTGGTTGCTTGAGTGTATCAAGTTTTCAAAACACATTTAACCGAATTTTATTGCTTTTAACTGAATTTAACTGCTTTTATTGAATATACATTATACCTCAAAAAATAATCTTTTATGAAATGCTGTTAACATACCCTTTACATATTCTTACATTTCAGGTGCTTGAAAATATGTTTCCTGTCCCTTCTAATACCTTAGAATGGCTTTACAAAGCAGTGTAGAATTTAAAGGCAAACACCAATAGCATTATGTGGCACACTGGAGCTAAACCCATGGAGAAACTGGCTATATATGAGTGCCCTGGCATGTGGCACTGGAATTAAACCCTGTTAACTGTATTTTTGCTACCAACAGACATGTCTTCTATTCTGGCTTAGAAGGAGGTAAATACTAATTCTGGCTATACTGGCTCCTGGGCTTTACCCTGAACTTAGCAAGAATTGACTCATATAGGATGAGAATAGAAAAATCTTGTGTCATCATCTTTTAAATTTTAATTTAATTTTTAAATTAAAAAAAAAAGTTGCCAGGTATGATGGCTCACATCTGCAATCCCAGAACTAGCACCTTAGGAGGCTGAGGCGAGTAGATAGCTTGAGCCCAGGATTTTGAGTTCAGCCTGGACAACACAGCAAAATCCCAAATCTACAAACAATACAAAAATTATTCAGGTGTGGAGGCATGTGCCTGTAGCCCAGCTACTCAAGAGGCTGAGGCAGGAGGATTGCCTGGGCCCAGGAGGCAAAGATTGCAGAGAGCCAAGATCACGCCATTGCACTTCAGCCTAGGTGACAGAGTGAGACCCTGTCTCAAAAAAAAGGAAAAAGAAAATGTTTTGAGATAGGGTCTTATGCTGTCATCCAGGCTGGAGTGCAGGGCATGAACATGGCTCATTGTAGCCTCAACCTTCCATGCTCAATCAATACTCTCACCTCAGGCTCCAGGGTAGCTAGAACTATAGGCCTATACACCATTATGCCCAGGTAATTTTAAAATTTTGTTTAGAGACAGAGTCTCTGGATGTTGGTGATGTTGGCCAGGCTTGTCTCAGACTGCTAGGTTCAGGCAATACTTCAGCCTCAACCTCCCAAAGTGTTGGGAATACAGGTATTAGCCACGGCACCTAGCCTGTGTCACCATCTTTAACCAGTCCCTGTATAGACTCCCTCCCCTGAGTTCCTATTGTATTATTTTCTGTACCAAAGAACTCAGCTCTTTATTTTGTAGATAATAGATTACTTATGAGGCAGGCAATACAGTGGAATAGTTAAAAACATGGTCTGTGTAATCAGAGAGAAACCTGAGTTCAAATTCTATCTCTGTACTTTATTACCCATCTAAATTTAGAGAATGCAGTCAGCCTCTCTACAGTTCAATAACCTTTTATGCTAGACACTCTGGATTCCAAGAGGGAGACATTGAAGAGGGATGTTCTATACTTGCCAAACTTGTCAATTTCACTGTCCTGGGATAGAATGGTCAGTAGGTTGGGAGAGCTCAAGGTGGTTGTGCTAATAGAAAGGAAACATCAGGAATGGGGACAAAATATTAACTCCCCAGCAATTTGTATGGGATTTTACCACATTCAAAGCTCTTCCACCTAAATTATCTACTGTAGAGAAAGTATTATTATCCACACTTAATAAATATAGAAACCAAGGCTCAAAAATTATTGTCTGTATCAATGTGAAGCTGGCAATAAACAACTACACCTTCAGTAAGTGAACAAAAAGATTTTCAGTGACTTTTGTTAGTTTCTAATATGGGTAAATATTTTAAACTTTTAATTGACAAACTAAATACATAAAGAAAAAGGCACAAGTAGAAAGTATACACTGTGATGAATTTTGTGGTAATCAAACATAAGCATGTAGTCATCATCCAAAGTAAGAAACTGAACATTCCCAGTGCCTCCAAAACCAGCCTCCACAGCCACTCGCCCACAGCCTCCTTCGGTCAATAACTCCCCAGAGTAACCACATCTTCACTTCTAACACTGAAATTAGTTCTACCTGCTTTTGAACTATATAAAGTGGAATCATATTGAATCACACAATAGGCTCCTTTTTGCCCATCACCTTTGCTCAGTTTGATATGACTCATCGATGTTGTGATCACTCTTCTTACTATGCTGTCTTCCATTGAGAGGACATAGCAGTGTCTGTTCATTCTGGTGGATGGGCATTTGGGTAGTTTCCAGCTGGGGGCTTTTATGACTACTGTTGCTATTAGCATAAAGGTCTGTCAGTAAATGGATATATGAGTTTTTGTTCCACAAAAATTCAGTAGTAAACTTGCTGAGTCTTAGGGACTTCATACGTTCAGCTTGAACAGAGAGTGTCATACTGTTTTCCAAAAGGTTTTACCAACTTGTATTCCTACCAGCAGCTAGCTCCTTTTGTTTCCCATTCTTGCCAATACTTGTTACTATCAGTCTTTTGCATTTTGGCCATTGTGGTGAAGCTGGGGCACATTTTATCTTCTGCATTTAGATTTCGATATCAACTGTTGGCAGTCTCTTTTTCTTTTTAACTGCTATTTGAGTTTCATTTCCTTTCACACAGTGGCTGAGATACTTTCGTTCCAGTTTCTTCTTTTTACTTAAAGTTGTCCACTCTACAATAAATTCTAGTGAGTTCTTTCTTGTCTTTTCTTTGTTTTTTCCCTTGATGTTACTTTCAGTCACCCTGACATGTACTTCTTAACCGCCCCTCAGAGCCACTCCTCCAGGTGACCTCTGCAACATTGGTCAGAGCGGTCAGCCACTTGGATCATGACCCCACTTGTATCCCCAGGGTACCTGGGTTTGAATTTTCTCTCCTATCTCATCTAGTCTCATTCACACCATCCTGGGACCAGTTCTAGTCCCAATTCTTTACCAAGCCCTTAAAACTGTCAGATAGCTAACACCTATAATCCCAGCACTTTGGGAGGCTGAGGTGGGCAGATCACCTGAGATTGGGAGTTCAAGACCAGGCTGACCAACATGAAGAAATCCCATCTCTACTAAAAATAAAAAATTAGCTGGGCATGGTGGCACATGCCTGTAATCCCAGCTACTTGGGAGGCTGAGACAGAACTGCTTGAACCCAGGAGGCAGAGGTTGTGGTGACCCCAGTTCGTGCTATTGCACTCCAGCCTGGGCAACAAGAGCAAAACACCATCTTAAAAAAAAAAACAAAACTGTCAGATAATAAAAATAGCTAACATTTGTTGAGAGTTTAAAAATTTCCAGAACATTATAATAATCCCACATCCTACATAAAAAATTCTATGTTTTAAGGTGGGGAAACTAAGGAACAGGAAGGTTAAAAAGTTTCCAGAGTTCAAACTGCTACTGATTGGAAGAGCCAGAATTCAAACCCAGCAAGTCTTCACCCTCCAGTGCACACTCTTAGGACTTCAGTGACTTCAGCTCCATTGTCTGTGCCACTCAACTGCTAACCCTATTTAGATTCTTGCATTTTGGGTCATCTTTATATTTCCACCTCCATCACCATGATTTTGAATCTTTGTGATCTCCCATCTGATTTTGTGGGGCATTTAACAAAGGGAAATATTGGTTGAAAAGAAAAGTAAAAACTTAAAAATTCTATGTGAGAAATAATACCACAAGGTGAAAACACACATAACAAATCAGAAGAATAATATATGACAAAGATTTAATATTCTCACCACCCTTTTACAAATCCATAATAAAGAGGCAAGCAACCTAATAGTTAAAAATGACTAACAAAAATGAGTAACATAAGAATTGATCCTTTCATAGTTCCCATGCATGATGATTGGGTGTTCATGCTCATGTGTGAGATATGCTTCCTTCAAGCCTCATTAAGCTGTGAGCACATTACCATCTGATGTGAAAATAATGATAAAAATGCGTAATGTAAGAGTAAGGCAAGCAATTCACACTAGTGGAAATGGCTAAGTAACTTATAAAAAGGTTTGCTTCGCTGGCAATTGAATGAATGAAAATCTAATTTTTTACTTTATAGTTTTCTATATTGTTCATGTATTTATTCATTTTGCAAGGAGTATGTATTAGTTTTTATCCTTTTAACATTTAATTTGATTGATTAATTATTTACTTAATTTTTTAGAGATGGGGTCTCAGTGTGTCACCAAGGCTAGAGTACAGAGGCATGATCATGGCTGACTGCAGCCTCAAACTCCTGGGCTCAAGCAATCCTCCCACCTCAGCCTCCAGAGTAGCTGAAACTACAGGCACATGCCCACCACACCCAGCTAATGTTTTATTTTTTGCTGAGGTGGGGTCTTGCTATGTTGCCCAGGCTAATCTCAAACTCCTGGCTTCCCAAAGTGCTAGAATTACAGGCATGAGCCACTGCTCCTGGCCTTATCCTTTTTTATTAGTTATTTCTATTTTGAGGAAACAAAAGAGTGTATATCACACATTCTAAGAATCTGAAACTCTCTGGGGTTAACTACTTTGAGGGCAAAGAGCTGCATTTCTAAGAAACCATTTATCACTCACTCAGTTTTTTTTTTTTTTTTTTTTACTTACTCAATTTTCTGACCCCTGGTTTCTGGGCAAATTAGTCACATCTGGACAGTGTCATCAGGATCTGGCACATTTTGCCTCTCTCTCTCTCCTTTTTGTCCTGTGGATACAGTAGGGCCCTATAAACCAGACTCCTGGGAATTACCTGCAGTACTACATTTTCTACCGGATCCCAGCCAGACTGGGCTCATTTGTGGCCAGTTCAGATGCCACAGCCCCTACAATGACCTATTAAAAATCTGCATTGTCTGTTGATGTGACATGTCTTCCTGGAAGAAAACCCAGCCATCACCGTAGCCCAGCTCGTGTTTCATTCCTCTCTCATCTTCACTTTCGACCATGAACTTACTTGTCCTTCATACAAGAGTCCTTATAATATAAAATAGTGTTTATAATTTATTGAGTGTTGTTATAACCTCATGCTAAGAATCAACACGTCTTCTCATTTTAATCCTCCTAACCATGCTTTTAGTTGCATATAATCATGATTTTACAGACATAAAAAATGAAGCTCGCACAGGAACAGCAGAGCCAGGATGCTAAAGTTTGTCTGACTGGCCTTCTTTTGACCAGGGGTCTTCCCTCAGCTTTTCTTTTGTCCTTACTCTGTTCTCTGCTAGGTCTGGATTCCTAGCACCATTGGGTGACCTTCTCTCTCTCCCCATATAATCACTTGGACTTCTCTTGATAGTGCCCAGGCAAGCCCTTAACAGTTTCCTTCTGTTGTCATCTGCGCAGACACCTGTATGATCAGACATGCCCATCAGTTTCTTCCTGAGTCTTTACGCTCAATACCTGTCAATCCAGTGCAGCCCAACTCAGAGGCTCCTCTACCTGTCTCCAGTAACCTGCAGCATCAGATGATTCCAGTTCGAATGGGAAGATGCTTTATGTTTCTCTTGACTAAAAAACTTGGACTAGTGGGGCTTATTTGTGTTTTCAAAGAAGAATGTATCAATCCAAGTAAGTTTCTAATGCAAGTACATTCTCGAATTAACAACGTTCCCCAATCTTTTTGGCACTGGAGACCAGTTTCCTAGAAGAAACTTTTTCCATGAACAGAGATGGGGTGAGGGTGAGGGTACGGTTTTGGAATGAAACATTTCTACCTCTGATCATCCAACATTAGTTAGATCCTCATAAGGAGCACACAACCTAGATCCCTCTCATGAGCAGTTCACAATAGGATTCACACTCCTCTGAGAATCTAATACCACTGCTGATCTAATGGGAGGCAGAGCACAGGCAGCAATGCTCACTTGCCTGCCGCTCACCTCCTGCTGTGTGGTCCAGTGCCTAACAGGTTACAGACAAGTACCAGTCCACTGCCCAGGGGCTGGGGATCCTTGCTCTAATAGGAAGAAATTCAGAAAAGGGAATGGGAGGCGGCATTTTACAGAAAAGGAAGCTGAGTCTCAGAAAGTGTTTGGCTTGGCCAAAAGTAAGCAGCAATATGTGAAAATGAGATTCCACTTTCTAATCATTGCCTCTGAGCCTTATCCTCGTCCTCTTTCTGTCCCCACCCAACACCCTTCATGAGTTGGCAATAAAGGTCTCCCTCCTAGATTTTCATGCTTGTAGGAGATGTTATTAGCTCAGAGAATTCCTGAGATGCATGGGGACAGGACTAGCCTTCTCTCCTTTCTCCACGTTACTCCATCTGGCCTTGCAGTGAGCCCTCTCTATGAGTAAAATTATTGAAGAGACAATCCACTCAATTATAGCATTTTATGTTATATTATTATTTCATAAAATAAAATGTTCAACTCTTGATTACCAGTCTCCCAATTTTCCACCAAGGATGTGATGTGTTCTCAATGTATATATAAGTTCTGTGAAGGCTTTCTATTTATACATTTATCCAGTAAGTGTCAAGACATAAAGAATGCTAAGTCCCAGGAAAACAAGAGCCTCATAGAATAAGGAGTTTAATTTCAGGAAATGATTTGCATCTAATTCACTGGCTTCTTTTTGACCTCCAAACTCATTATCTTTCTAACTCAAGGCTCAAGATGAGCCTGCATTTTTATGATTCTTTCAGACAGTAGATCATAACAAGTTATGCTACCTTGGTTAATTGGCTTCACTTAATATTCCACCCAGAAAAGCACACTTGCTTTTCCTTCTGACCACAGCAGCGCTAGAAACAGCCTCCATTGTCCAAAGGCATAGAGCCAAATTGCTGCTGTCACTGCTGCCACCTTTTGCTCCCTGACACCATCTAACAGAGCCTCATGTCCCTCCCATATTTCATGCCTTCCATCCCTGGGTCCTCCTCTCTTGCTACTGAGGAGTTCAGTAGGTGCCCACATTAGACACACTTCCTCACTGGCCAGACAGCAGGCGGGGAGAACCACAAACTCATTTCAGCCGCTGTCTTGAGATGCAGCTTTCTCAGGGACAGCTGGAGAGATCAAGTACACAGTCTCAAAGTGGAATGGTCATGTCTTGTTCATCTTTGCATCCTAGCACCCAGAATAGTGTTTAGCACTGGGTAGGAGCTCCACAAATATTTGTGGAAAGAAGGAAGAGAGGGAGACAAGAAAACTGATGTGATTTGCCTAAGACACCTGGTTAAGTAGAGAACTAGGTACAAATCCTGGCTCCCAAAGTCCTATATTTGTGCTCACTCAACTCTACCACCCTAGGTTTACATTGGCCTCCTGAAAGAAAGAAAAATGAGATAAATAACAAGGGAAGGGAGAGAGGATACAGAAGAGAACACCCAGTAAAGAAAATTTGGGGTTGAATTTGCAGGTGGCATAACCACAAGGCAAGAAGAGCTCATGTTTTCCTGGGTCTGAGGTGGTCTACTCCAAGGCAGATATATTGTAGTTATGGATAAATGGTGCTATTGATCAAATTCTCACATCTGGAAAAGGCCAAGAAAAATACTTGATTCCAGGCATAGTGTAAGTAGCTTAAAATGCATATTTTCAAAATGTAAATATGGCCAATTACCTTTATCCCAACTCTAATTGTCAAGCTTTTCTGTACTTCATTTAAAAAATAAATATCTTTTCCTACCTAACCCAGCAAGATAAGTGTGTCCTAAGAATTTGCTATTATTATTGCTGTTACCTTAGACATCTTCAGTGAACCAAGCATGGTAGACATTAATCTGATTTAATTAGAATGGGTCAAATTATACTTAGAATCCCTAGAGAAAATTTTACTAAGAAATTTCTTTTCAGGGCCGGTTGCGGTGTCTCACTCCTGTAATCCCAACACTTTGGGAGGCTGCGGTGGGCAGATCACAAGATCAGGAGTTCAAGACCAGCCTGACCAATATGGTGAAACCCTGCCTCTACTAAAAAGACAAAAATTTGCCGGGCATGGTAGTGCATGCTTGTAATCCCAGCTATTCAGGAGCCTTAGGCAGGAGAATCACTTGAACGTGGGAGGCAGAGGTTGCAGTGAGCTGAAATCACACCACTGCACTCCAGCCTAGGCAACAGAGCAAGACATCATCTCAAAAAAATAAAAAGAAAGTTATTTTCAGAATATGATTTTGATGTATATTTATTTTTTCATGAGATGTGGACTGAGGCAGAGGAAGGAAGAAAAAGTAAGCAAAAGGTAATTTTTTTTTTTGCATTGCCACGCTGTTAACAAGACTAAAGACCAGAAGCATTGAAATAGAATAATTAAAAAGTGACGACAATGTAATATTTAGGCATGCTGTCACAGAGTCCAACAAAATGGCTTCGAAAATTATCTTTAATTCTTTTACTTAGTGGGGAAAAATTAATCCAGAAAACTATAAAAAAATTTCTATTATCCTATTGTTTGAATATAACTACAGTTAATATTTTACTGTGTACCCTATTCTACTGTTGCAAAATAGGTGCATTCCTAAGAAATCTCAACTTACCAAAAGAATGTAAAGGAACAGGTAACACTGGTTGACACTGGAGAAGGGTAGCTGGGGAATAGGAATGGAGAATACTAGCATGTGCCTTATAGATTTTGTCCTTTACATGTATCTCCTATTAAAATTAAGCCAAATTAAAATTTAAAGCTAAGATTTTTAAAAAAATGTTTTAATGGGAACAGAAATGTTAAAACTCACAGTAGAACAGAATTTTAAAAAATAGTAATTTTAACAACAAATTTGTTTTCATAACCATAAATGTATTAGGTTATTGCTAGCTTTAATTTTAAAAAGGTAGATCAAAACTTACAAAAGGAAACACAAACTTCCTTGCACTTTTCTCCGCACATTCAGCGCCCTCTAACACCCCATCGCTGTCGCTGTGCAGGTCTGCCTGCAGTACAGTCCATTACAGCCAGGGGAAGCAGCAGCTTTTTGTCGTTCTGATGAGACCAATTCTTAGTCAGTTCTGGTTATCACTAAGAGTGATTCATTAAATTTTGTTCAATAAGCAGCTAATTATGCTATGACCAATTTTTGTTATGGACACTTTAACTGTAGGAAAAATTAATTCCTGTATAATTTTTCCAAATGCTTTCTCCAGGCACGTGTACATATACGTTATATAGAAGTTATCTTTTTAAATCTAATTTTACCAAAAAAAGCATCACAATAAACATACTACTTTAGAAGGTTTTTTTCACCCAACAAAGCATTTTGAAACTTTTCCATGATAACAAACGTGGATCTAATTATCTTTTTTTTTTTTTTTTTTTTTTTTTTTGAGGCAGAGTTTTGCTCTTTTGCACAGGGTGGAATGAAGTGGCACAATCCCGGCTTACTGCAACCTCTGCCTCTGGGTTCAAGCAATTCTTCTGCTTCAGCCTGTCAAGTAGCTGGGATTACAGGCACACGCCACCACGCCAGGCTAAGTTTTGTATTTTTAGTGGAGACAGGGTTTCACCATGTTGGCCAGGCTGGCCTTGAACTCCTAACCTCAGGTGATTCACCCGCCTCAGCCTCCCAAAGTGCTAGGATTACAGGTGTGATCTAATTATCATTTTAACTTATTAAATTTCAAATTTCCCCTTATCTATAATAAAAGTTTAACTAATCCCTGATGAATGAGATTTATCTTTCAAAAAAGAAGTGACTTTGCTTTTCTTCTTTAATACTGCTAGTATTTTCAGTATCTTTATGATTTTACTATATAAACCATTAAAATTAGTTTGATTCCATTATCATTTAAAGCCAGACAACAAGGCCAGTAGAGGCCAACATTCCTGTAGGTCACAACAACCCTGGGAAATCTCGCCTTTGCTGAAACTATAACAAATCCAGCAGTAATTGCAGTCCCCCAAAGGTTTCAGGTCCCCCCAAGGAAGGCAGGAGTTGCGCATTACTCGGCATTCTCAGATCTATTCTAAAGCAAATTATTTTCTTAGATTGGGATTCAATTCCACACAATTCAAGGATTTTTATTTAATAAGTACAAGGCATTGGCTCAAGGAGAAGGATGCAAGCTAAACTGGATCACAAATTTTCCTGGACACTTACAACCTCATAGGAAGACATATTTACATAAGTAAGTATGATACAAGGAAAATTTGTAAGACAAAATAAATGAAAGTATTATAAGAAACACAGAGGAGAGATAGATTGCATTAGGCTGAGTGAAGTGGCTTTTGAGTGGCTGCTAGAAGAGTCCATAGGATTGTGATCAGAAGAGAGAGGAAGGGCTGGGTGGACCAACAAGAGTCTGGGCTATGAATACAGGTTTGAGTCAGGCTGACCGGAGCTATAAAGCCCTTCTCCTGTTCTCACTGTGTGTTCTTTTCAGTTCCGTCTTCCTGAGGCTGCTGTGTTTCTGGGCATGCCCAGGGGATCTTCAGACTTTACAAACCGGTTGTGCAGAGCCAGGCATTTCAATAAGAGACAAAATGCTGAGTAACAACATGAAGTCAGAGTGTTGCTTGCCAAGACCTGGGAGGCCTGGGTGGTTTCCCAATCTTAAAGAAGCAGAAGGATAGGATATTAAAGTGAGCCTCCCGAAGGAAAACGTGGAGCTACTTACTAACACAGAAAATGATACATAAGGATTCAAGTTAGGTAGGTGCACCACCTGTGATGGCTTGGTCACTTCCTGATCTCATGGACTAACTGTAGGTCTCAACTATTTGACTGTCTTCCAGAACAGACTGATACATAACTAAGAGCTTACCTTTGTGAAGAATATTTTATGCACTGCAGAACAGATAGTTTTCAGTTCTGGGCCAAAGCGGGGAAAGTTTGGAGAGATTTAAACAGGAAATGACTCTGCTACAAAGAATTCAGGAGCATGAGTGAAGTAAGTAAACAATCCAAGCACAATTGATGAGTTCTAGATGTCTTGGGAATAACAGCTCTTGTTGCCAGCTCAGATGGGTGAAATCCCAGTCTGATAAAGGGCTCCAGGGCTGCAAGGAGACCACTCCTAAATCCATCACACCAGTGTCACAGGTTTACCACCTGCTCAGCTCTTATTTAGCATCCTAAAGCCTTTTGCCCCATCACTCACATTTGACCACTTAGTTTAGGAATGAGGTATCAAATATTGGAGAGATCTCATAGAACCTACAACTAAAATAAGCAGAGGAATTAGAAGCTGGACAGAGTGACCCAAGGAGGACTGGGGATAACTTAAGAGTTCCTTATTTTGATTTTTGCTGAAAATTCTTCATCATAATTAAAAAATATAATTATAAGAAAAATATCTGCTTCTGACTGAAAATTTGGAAAACATAGAAATATATAACATAGAAAAAACCCAAGTCTTCCACTGACAAGTAATTATGAGGAATATTTCTTTTTATTCTGTGTTCTCTGCACATATGAAAGTATAAAATTGGAATCATAGTGTATATATAGTTTTATATTAATTTTTGACATAGTCACTTTAATAACAATACATACACTATGTTATCACTATAGAATATAAATTCAGGTTAGACAAGAGAATTTCACAAGTGCAATAAAGTGTTCTAATTAGCTGGGCGTGGTGGTATACATCTGTAGTCCCAGCTACTCAGCAGGCTGACGTGGGAGGATTGCTTGAGTCTAGGAGATCAAGGCTTCAGTGAGCCGTGATTGTGGCATTGCACTCCAGAGCCTGGGTGACAGAGCAAGACTCCTTCTCAAAAAAAAAAAAAAAAATTACAAATAAAACATTCTGTTGTATATCAAAGTTTCTGTATAGTAACTGGCCAAACCAGCTTGTTCATTAGTCACTTTCATTATAGGTAATGTGTTTAGTTTCATGTTTATGACTCTTCTGGAGAAAATTTAAAAAGTGTTCTTCACTTACCTTAGCATGAGTGCTTAAAATACATATTTCTATTTCAAGATGACTTTAAAAATTATTATAACATCAGTTAAAATATAATTCTGCAATTATAAAAGAGCCAAACTGGAGTCCATAATTAAGTTATTCTCATGTTTGCAATTGTGATTCTGAAACAAATACTATTACTATGCAGCTCCATTGTAAGCTTTCTAGATTAGGTTTAGACACACATACACCCTTGAGAGTTGTGGGAGGCATTATAGGTTATCAATATACTCCATGCACGTTTTAGAAAGAGTTCTAAAAGACCCAGCCAGTCCACAAGACAGATAGAAGACAAGTTAAATTAATTGAAGCAGATAGGACTCCTATATAACATTCAAAGCATGTGAAATTCTGCAGCAAACTGGAAATACTTCAGGATTGGCTGGCTATCTTCTTTATAACTAATGTTTCTTTCCTTCCTTCCTTCCTTTCTTCCTTCCTTCTTTCTTTTCTTTCTTTCTTCTTCCTTCCTTCCTTTCTTTCTCCTTCCTTCCTTCCTCCCTCCCCCTTGCCCCCCCTTATCCCCCCTCCCTCCCTTCTCTTTCTTTCTTCCTTTCTCCCTCCCTTCTTTCTTTCTTTCCTTCTTTCTTTCCCTTTCCTTCCTTCCTTCTTCCTTCCTTCCTCCCTCCCTCCCCTCCTCCCACATCATCCCTCCTCCTCCCCTCCTTCCTTCCTCTCCTTCCCTCCCTCCCTTCTTTCTTTCCCTTCCTTCCTTCCTTCCTTCCTTCCTTCCTTCCTTCCTTCCTTCCTTCCTTCCTTCCTTCCTTCCTTCCTTTCTCTCTCTCTCTCTTTTCTTTTTTTATGCAGTCTCACTCTGTTGTCCAGGCTGCAGTGCAATAGCATGATCTTGGCTCACTGCAACCACTGCCTCCCAGGTTCCAGTGATTCTCATGCCTTACTCTCCCAAGTAACTGGGATTACAGGCATGTGCCACCATACCTGGCTATTTTTTTGTTTGCTTGTTTGTTTGTATTTTTGGTACAGATGGGGTTTTGCTATGTTGGCCAGTCTGGTCTCAAACTCCTGGCCTCAAGTGATCCACTCACCTTGGCCTCCCAAAGTGCTGGGATTACAGGGATGAGCCACCACACCCGGCCCTAATTTCATCTTTACAGTCTAAGAAGGTGGTTTTAAGTTTTAACACCATCAAGTACAATTAGGTGACATGTTTCTTTTGTGTTAACTTGACTTCCCTTGAATGACCTAGTTAGTGAACTAGTCACTAGTAATTTGGTCACCAGGCAAATCAAGCCTGCAAGAAAGGAAGCCAGTATTCAAAATACCGTGTTCTCATCTGAACCCATTCAAATAATTTATTTCTGACATAAACATGTAACCTCAATAATGAGATGTCTAACTAAAGTAAGCTCCTACAACAAGACCAAGACAACATTTCTTCCAAGGCTTAGGCTTTGCCCAGAATTCCTAATACACAGAACAGCCCATACCAACAGTGATTGCTTCTACAACAAAGCCTTGGGCTGCCACACACATGTGGATCAGGGGAAGGGACATTTTAGCATTTCCTGTGCTCATCCATTTGTATAATCCATATGCAACAACTGCTAGAAAGCCCACCATTCCAATGAGAACAAGTTTGGATCCCTGATTGTTATCATAAGAAGAAAGGGAAACATCTGTGTCTGTTGACATACTGATTGCATGAAGAATCTCTCTAGAGTGAGAAAATCTCTCACAATCCAGCTGATATCTATGTTAATTTTTATCTAACATTATACTATAGTCATTTCTCATGTTATTAAGCATTATTGCAAACATTGCTTTTAATCCCTATATCATATTTTATCTCATAGGTATATGACAATTTATTTAACCATTCCCCTTCTTGAGATGTTTAGAGTGTTTCCACATTTTGTTTTTGTTTTATTATAAATAAAACTTATGGACATCTGCACATATAAATCTTTTACCACAAATAAAATTGTTTCCCTAAGATTCATGTAAAAAAATGGAGTGAGGTTTGAAGCTGTTGAGCTTGATTGTTCCTTCTTCTTCTTTCCAGGCACTGTGGATCCAAATGATTTGGAGGAGCAGGTTCTCTGAGCCAGGATTCTAAAGTTCCTATTCAGGAAAGAGCCACGTTGTATGGTTACCCTACCACAAAGATACAGGTGAGAAAACCTGAGAACTGGGATAGTAGAACAAAGAGAGGCACTGACAGAATGGGCCCTAGAATTCCAGAGTCTGGGAAACTTGGGCCAGATAAAAACTAGGAGTCTGGCAGCTATTACTGTGAATCACTCTTACTCTACAGCTGGGCATGTATCATTCCTCCTGACCCTTAACTAGTAACTTCCTATGGATAACCTGGCTTCTCATTCCCCTGGGAACATTGAAGCACTCAGTAGAGACCTTCTACAAACTCCCTCTACCACATCTTACCCATTTGCCTGTCTCTATGCACATGTATATCTGTTTTTCTCTCAATACCATGTATAGGTTGACAACACTCACATTTATATCTCCAGCCCAGATTTCTCCCCTATGTCCTGATTTGATAGCTAATTTCCTACATGACATCTCTCTTTGAATGTCTGATAATCATCTCAAAGTTGTATGTCCAATACCAAACTGCTGATCTGCCCCCAAACCTGTTTTTCCTGTAGTCTTCTGCACATAGGTTAAGGGCAACATCATCCTTTTACTGTCTCATGCCAAAAAACTTGGAGTCCTTCTTGATTTCTGTTTCTCACACCCCACATCCCATCCATCAGCAAATATTTGCATCATGTCTCACCGGATTACTGCAGCCATCTCCTTGCTGATCTCACTGCTTTTCAGCCTATTTCACAACACAGCAGCTGAAATAGTCCTTTTAAAACATAGGTCAGATCATGTCACTGCTCAAACCTACCAAAGACTTCCATTTCACTTAGAGTAAAAGACAAAGTCCTCATAATGGCCATACACAATCTGCCTCTTTCCCACCCCCTTACCTACCTCATTTCACATCCTGCTATTTTCTCCTTTGTTTGTCTCTGCTGCAGCCATGCCATTCTATAAATATGCCAGGCACTTTCCTGGCTCAGGGTCTATGTACTTCCCATGCTTTCTGCTCTTCTTCCAGATTTCTACACAGCTCATTCCCTGTCTCCTTCATGTCATTACCGGTTCGTCGTCTCATGCAACTTTCCTGACCACCACATTTAATTGCAAACTCCTACCCCCAACTCTCCTTGTCTCTCTTTACACCTTATTTTTCTCCATCATGTTTATCACTCACCAACAGACCATACTTATTTGGTTTGTTGTCTGACTGTCCCTACTCATAGACAGTTTTTAATCTGTTTTGCTCATTGTTGTATACTTAGCACCTAGATAGTGCCTAGCACATATTTGGTGCTTCAAACATACTTGCTGAGTAAAGTATGGGCATGCTGTGAAAAGGCATAGATAGGTAAGGACTTTTGGGTTAGGATTGTGAGAAAGTGATTAGCACCAAGATGTTTTCACTCAGTTTTCTGATTTCTATTACAGAATCTGGGCCAAAAGTTTGATACACCAAAGAACCAGATTATCACAAGTGAAGTAAACCAGGCCAATTGTCTTGTAGATCCTCTTAGGAATTTTTGCGAATTATACATGTTATGGGAATTTTTAAACTTCTGTATGCTAAAGCAAATTAGAATGCTTTGATAAAGCTTATTTTGGATTTCTCAGTGCTTCTACTTGGTCATAGAATATGGCAAGGGGTTCCAGAAATAGAATTAGTTGAGGAAGGAAAGAAATTAACGTGGAATTGAGTGACTTCTAAAATTCTAGACACTTTACATCTCATTTAAACTTTTGAGGACTTTTGAGACAAGGAATACTATTCTAGTTACAAATATATAAAAATTGAGATTTGGGCCTGGTGCAATGGCTCATGCCTGTAATCTCAGCACTTTGGGAGGTTAAGGCAAGAGGAGGGCTTGAGCCCAGGATTTTGAGACCAGTGTAGGCAACACAGCGAGACTCTGTCGCTACAAAAAATTAAAAATTTATCTGGCTGTGGTGACACACACCTGTAATCTCAACTATTCAAGAGGCTGAGCTGAGAGAATCATTTGAGTCTGAAAAGTCGAGTCTGCAGTGAGCCATGGATCGTGCCACAGCAATCAAGCCTGGATGACAGAGCAAGACCCTATCTCAAAAAAAAAAAAAAAAACAAAAACAAAAACTGAAGTTCAGAGAGAATTATTAATTTCTCCAGCGTTGGACAGCCAGCAAATGTCAGGCTTAGAATTCCATCCACTAGCTAACTGAGTAGTTTAGAATCTAGACCAAGTTTGTTCAATGCACAGCCCACAGACCACATGTGGCCCAGGAGAGCTTTGAGTGTGGCCTAAAACAAATTCATAAACCTTCTTAAACATTATGATGTTTTTTATCTTAGTTCATCAGCTATCATTAGTGTTACTGTGTTTTATGTGTGGCTTAAGACAATTTTTCTTCCAATGTAGCCCAGGGAAGCCAAAAGATTGGATACCTCTGACCTAGACGCTATAGCTAACATCTTGACAAATTAGGTAACTTAGGAGAAACCATTTAGTATTTGTCTCAGTTGTCTGCAAAAAAAATTAATAAATTCACTTCATACGCATACCTTAGAATAACCCAGGGTGATAATTTGAAGTTTCTCTGGCTTTTGTTATTTTCTCAGCTATTTCAGAAGAAAGAAATTGTTCTAAATGTTAGGATCCACTGGGGCTGTTGTTTCCTAGTTCACATCTTTAAACTGTTGTTAAACCACAACAATTATCACAAGCACAGAGTCTCCTGGAACATTTTCCCAAGTAAAACAAATACTTTAGCTGTGTGAGGGTATCAGGCAAAGCTAGAAATGGGACTCCTTGCTGGCTATCCATGTGAAAGGCTTTGTGTAAGAAAATCCTATGTTGCCAACACAGTCACTTGTCAAAGACAATAGTTGTTGGCAGAGCATTAATATGTGAGGATTGGGAGAGCTGCCAGTGGAAGCAAACTCTTTTGTGGTGTGTACAGTGTTGTGCTGGGGCATCAGCTGAAGTTCACCACTGATGACCATCTGAAAATTGCCTTCCACCCACAGTAAACCCCAATGGACAACTCAGCAAATTGAAGAATAAATTTCTAGGGAGAGGCAACATGATGTAATTAATGGAAAAAGAATTCGAATAGAAGTGAAAACCCCCTCATTTTAATTCCAGTGTGGTGATTCTGATGCCTCCTTTAACTTCACTGCAATATTTTCCTTATTCACTCACTTACCCAGGCACTCATTCAGGCATCCAGCAAGTATTTACTGAATGCCAACTTGTATCCAAGGCACTGGGTCAAGTGATGTGATCATTTCATGATTCTGCTTTATGTATGTTGGAGATAATAGTCCCATCTGCCACAAAGTGATGTAATGAGGATGAAAACCCAGTTTCCACTTTGGTAGAAATGGAAATGTGTTTGTCTTGCCTACTTCATGGATCTATTATGAGAATCATAAGAGCTAATTATGTGGGCAGACTTAATGAACTTAAAGCATTATATACATATGCAAAAACAAACTGACAAAGATGAAATTTATATCATTGCTGAATATTACTTGGAGAGAGAGGCAGAGAGAGAGAGAAAGAGAGATACAGACAGACAGAGACAGAGACAGAGAATGCTAATGAGATTCAGTGCCATTTTCCTATTCTTTTCGTTTTTCAGTGAAATCAAGACTTACAAAAATAAAAATAGAAGTTAGTTTTAACAATTATTCTTATAATTTTTTCAATGCAAATCTACAAATAAGAACCAAACCTATGATTCCCAAACTATACTCTTATACTATCAGTAGCCTGGGTTCTGAAATTCAATGCTACAACTGGGAGTAGAGGATTTTATTGCTAATATATCAGGATTAGGCTTTGCTGCACATTAAAAATAAATGTAAACTACCAAAGCCTAAGCAAGTTGGAATTTGGGGGTTTCTTTTCTCAAATAAAAGGAGTTGGAAGAGAAACTAGCTAGCTATGGCCACTCCATAATATCATCTGGGACCCCTCAGGCTTTTCTCCCTATTATCTTAACACATGGCTATTATTATTAAGGTCATCTCTGGGCTGCTGAAGCTCTGGTTATCACACCTGCATTGCAGCCAAAATAAGAAGGAAATGCAGAGTATCATGCCAAGCTGAGTAAAATTCTGTTAAGAAGCCCTTCTAGACATTTCATCTAGAATTATGTTTTCATATCTTTGACAGAAATTAGTCATGTGGCCATACTTAGCTGCAGGGGAGACTGGGAAATGCAGTTTTTGTCTTGAGAGATATTCTGCTGAGATAAGAATCAAGGTTAAGCAATTAGCTATCTTTTTCACACAAAATATTAAGAAAAAAATGTTAATGGATGAAATGTTCTCAATTACAAAATGTTCTCCATCCATTTTACGTATTTCTTCAGTTTTAAGAATATTATCATTCGTCTATAATAGTATACAACAGTATCAGATTCAATGCAAAGTTGTATACTGGGTTTTTAAAAATAATCTAAATATTTATATTTCATTTTAATCCTACAAAGAGCAACATGATTTTCAGTTGCTTTGTCACATGAGTACATTTGGGCCCCATTAATTCAAATCAAATAAAATTATAGAAGTCTAGAAATCCATTCTGTATGGAACCAAGATC